TAGTATTCAGCCAGTCCAGCTAGCCGAGCCTTTACTCCTCAACTACATTTGATACCACGTTTACTAATTATCTGAGCGACTAGGGGCCACAGGCAAGAAATGTTCATGACTGTCCTCATATTATTGTCGTTACAATTGGGAATGGATAGACTATTCCTCATATTATGTAGTTAAATGTCAATGTGTTCAGGCAATTATCATGAGTTCCGTCATTTTGTAGTAGTTGAATATATTGACTTCATATTCTAGGGTTGTGAAGCATTTGTCAGGAGCTTCAAAAAATGTGTCACAAGACCCACCCTTTCCATTTAATTTATTTCCCAGATGACATCCAATCGCCATCTGTTAATTTCACTTCAAAATAAAGTATTCATGCATTAATTTCATTATCCCAAATTTCAATTTTTGAATGGACCCGATCACAAACTTCTAATACTGAACGTCTCACTGAACTCATTCCCATACGATAGCTGAACGCAATGGTTGTGAACGAATCACCAGTTGATATAAACCTGAAAATAAAATAAAAATTGATTATTTTTCTTACAGCTTCATCGTGCAGACTAAAATGGCAAGGTTTAAGAGATTCATACAGAAGAGCTCTCAATAAAAAAAAACGAAAAACTGGACAGGCTGCTAAAAACATTAAAAAATGGAAATATGAAGAAGAAATGTCATTTGTTGTTCCTTTCTTCGTAGAAAGAAAAAGGCTAGAGTCCGCGCAGCTGACAAGCGACGATGAACAACCGGATGAAGGCGATGAAGCTTCTCAAATGAAGGATGATGTTACGACTGCGGTCCACGTGTCTCAAATCAAGGAAGAAATAATCAGTACTAACGCTGATGCTGTGAATGATACTGGTTCTGACCTATCCATTATGAATAGCGAAGTTCGTGACCAAGATATGCGAGGACAGACGACTGCATCTGCAGTGTTGATCAAATTATTAGAAAGTCAAAATAACCTTGCACCACGGGATCACGTTGAACTGGATCACTTTTTTTTAAGTATTTCAGGAACAGTTAAAAAATTTTCTCCTTACTTACAAGCTGTTGCGAAAAATAAGGTATTTGGTTTAGTTTCTGAGATGGAATTACAGCAGCTTGCCCCACCTACTACATGCACTTCATCTCGACACGAATCCACAAGTACTTGATCTGAATTGAGCTCTACGCCTATGCCAACGTCTCCTCAGTGGAATATGTATAAAGAAGATCCTTGGAATGCAAATAATATGTAATGAACCTTATTTTGATTAAAAATTAAATAAGTAAAAAGGAATTTCATTTTACCTACCGTAAAAACACAGCAAGCTTTTCTTTTTGGTAACAGACACTTTCTAAAGCGTGTGTCTTTCCTGACAATATCATTTTCAATTCTATATATTCAGCAATACATTCATTGAAATGTAGACATACAAAAATACTGAAAAAAAATTTCCTCATCATCAACTAAATGTCTAAATAGGGGAACGGCCAAAGGAGGTTGCGTTAATGGCCATGGTATAAACNCGCGCTTTTTTCTATACCTTTCCATTCACTCATTGCCAAGTTTCTTGAAATTAGATTGAAATTCCATAATTTGTCACATGCTAACCCAGCCTAACCTAACTCAGTCTAACCTTACTTTAGAATTTAAAAAAAACTATGTTTCCTCAACATCTAACCTAACCTCCAAATTTTAAAAAGAACGTATTTTCGAATAGTGAAACTAAATGCAATTTATAAAAAGTGATTTGTGTGCACCCGTGTGTGAATTTCATTCTAATTTTAGGAAACTTGACAATGAGTGATCGAAAAGTGATAGAAAAAGGTGCGATGATATGGAAAAAGTTGTGTTAAATAAAAAAATATGTGAATTGCAATCGTTTATTGCTTTTAAAAAAAGGTAAAATATGACGGGCTATATCTCGAAAACTAATTGAGTTCGACAAAAAATAAAAAGTGTTCTGAATTCCTACCATCAGGCAGTATCATCACAGAAAAAATCGCAAAAATCCGTGAGTATCCCATAAAGTATAATTTAGCCTAAAAAACCACATTATTTTTGCAAAAAGGAACTTTAATCAATATTTATTTACAATACTCACCTAGTCGTAATTGGTTCCACGCAAAATAATCACTGAGGTTGGAGGGGATTTCGTGAAGAAGAAATAATATTGTACGATTATTCCGATATTACTTCACCGTCACAAAATACCCTCTTATCTTTTTATAAGAACCGCATCATATTACTTACACCTTTATAAAAAGTGTGTATTCGAAAAGGCATATGGCCAGGCTCGCGAAAAAAAAAACTAGTCTCCGTAAGAACTGAATGTATCTCAAATTATCAGAATAGTGAGTAATATTTTTTTTTTCGTTAATACAGTTAATTATAATTAAAATACAGAGAACCACTGTTTGGACGTGCTAGAATGACGACATGTTTTCCATCTATAGCAGCAACACAGTTGGAAAAACTCCATTTGTTCCAAAATCCATTGATATTTCTTTCCCATATTTCTGTGCTAGGCGTTGGAAAACTTTTATGAAACATACAGTGCATTTCTTTAATGCCCCCCTTTCATTTTTTGAACGGGTCAACTTGAAAAATTGAAATTTGGGATAATGAAATTAATGCATGAATACTTCATTTTGAAGTGAAATTGACAGATGAAACTTTCAAGATGGCGACTGAGCGCCATGTGGAAAAAAAATTAAATGGAAAAAGGGACCTTGTGATATATCATTTTGAAGACCCTGACAAATGCTTCACAACCCCAAAATATAATGTGAAATCTTCAACTACTACAAAATGACGGAACGTTTAATAATTTTCTGAAGACAAACACATTAATATCGATATGTCTAGAAATGTTCCTTTTTATCTGCCGTATGGCCATTCCAACAACCCGGTAAGGTTTGTTAGGTTATTTTTAGTTTATAGAAACAACAAAAAATTGTCAGTACGACAATGAACACCATTGTTCAGTTAGAATAGTCTCATTTAGTTTTCGGTTTTACTAGTAGAAAGGTACCACGTCAACAATTTCTAAAATGGTCAATTCTCGTCCATTGGAAGAAAAAATTGAAGCGATTTTTATTTA